CACACTTCGTGATTTCAAATATCGCTCTAAAAATCTAATCGAAAGGTAATTGGCCGACATATAAACTCGAAACTCAATCTACTAGGTTTTGAAACTTCCAATTTTGGACCATACTTGCTTTTACAGCGCAGGTGTGCACTTTGTCCTTAAGGAGGTATAAAGGAGGTAGGTTTGTTTCTTACTCTGTTATTTTTGAAGTTAATCGATAAAAGTTTACTCTAAGTCATTATTAAATTCTTGTCTGCTATTCTAGAAACGAAAGATTGTTTCGATTATTATACTTTACACATACTTGCTTAATTCCCCTTATATTTAATGTAATCTATTTATTGAATCGAGTGATGATAGTGATGTTTACTGCCGTATTTTTTTTTTTTAATTCAGCACTTACCCGATTTTATGATAGAGCAATGTGCGATTCGGATTTGTGTCACGTGCCGGCCGCCACTCCCGCGAGCCGCGACAATTACCTCCGTTATTGCAGGTGATTTGGTGCTCTGTACCTACCGTTTTTATACCGTTTCGGTGACATAAATGGTGACAGCAAGTTTTTGGTCTCTCGTATATATTATTTTTCAGTTTTTACATTGTATTAATGCAACAGATCAGGTGATCCAAATTCGAAGAAATTCAGTTATCGATTTTGATTGAACTATAAAGCTGCCTTCAGACAAACTAACTGAACTGAACTGTAGCAAACGGGTGCAGTCGAACTGACAACTATGTGCAGTCAGCATATATTTAACTGCATGCAGTTAGATTATAAAATTCAAGATATATATCAGATTTTGTGGTAATCTAATGAGCTGATCGATAGATTCTTACTCCAATATACTCTGAACTTATTAGTTTTTTACAGATACTCAATTTATAACACCTCTATGTAATGAATAGTTCTAAAAATTGTGATTTTCGGCACGATATAACTTAATCATCGATAGAGCAAGACTTTGAATGGTAAGTAGTTATACATTATAATACGTATAATTATATTAAAAGATATAATAGAACTGTTACTAAACGTACGTAATATATTTCATTACAAATACCTACTAATTAACTAGAAAATTATTTCATTACAAACAACAATTTCATTTAGTAGACATTGCTCAGGTGGCAAATATTTTCATACAAATAATATATGAAGAGTTTTTTTTGGTATCTCTGGGGAAATAGGCAGCGAAAGATGTTTCTCCACCTATATCTACAGTCCAGTATATATGTATGCGTGTTACAGTCTATTTATTATAGAATAGACGGTATATTTCGTTTATATTTGCGAGAGTTTTTCGTACCGTTATTTTGAGTAAGATATTAACTACATATTCTTCGCGCCAAGTCCCTTGGAGGGTAGAATTTTTTCAATGGAGATAAAGTCTATTTTTCTTTTAAAATAATTATGGCGCTATACGTAAATTATCATCATCATCAGCCTATTAATTTCCCCGTTGCTAAAGCAGAAACCTATTGATGGAATTTAAAAGGGAGAACGAGCCTGACGCAGCCAGAACCAAGTGCTTAACGTGCCTTTTGAAGCAAGGAGGCGCTCGGGGGCGCAGTTATGTTCACATTTGTGTCCCCGTACTCGAGGTTCTGAATCCGTGAAGGCTAACTTCCCGCCTTGTTATCCTGTTGGTTACGACCAGGTGGATGATTAAGAGAGCTGGTAGTGAGGGAAGCTGAGGAGTCGGCCAGCATATGCCGATGAGGGAATTTTCCATCTCGCTCTCTGGTAGTGGCATCGTCTTGGCCGAGCTACTGCACACACCGTTCGGTGGGTGGAGTGATCGGGCTTGGGCGGTGCCGTTACCTGAGTGTGACTAAGGAACGGAATACTGGTGACTGGCTTGGCTCACGCTAAGCTGGACATTGATATCCGGGGCTATCGGGGTTTAGGGATTCACAAGGGTTCAGCCCAGGTGAAGTCCCTCTCTTAGACGGGTTAGGGTGAGAGATGCACAGTTGCGCATCTCTTGCTGACGAGGGGCAGTCTAGCGGGTTAGCGCGCTCGCTAGGAATTGCACACACTTTGTCCTGTCTGGGGGTTTGGACTCGAATGTTCCTGAGCCCTTCCCCTAACCCGAGATAGGACCCGCCCTATAAAAGGAGCGGGTCGAGCGGGAACGGCACGCTACCACGCGTCGTTTCCCCGCAGTGAGGGTCATCGCTGAGTTTTAGTGGGTAGGCCTACCCACTAAAACTGCCTGCTTTTTGACCAGCCCCCACTCAGGGGGTTGGTCCGCAAGGGGGAATTCTACATAACCCATGGAGCTCGCGCAGGGTAAAGCGGGTGTGCGTAACGCATTTGTCAGTGTAAAAAAAAACACTATATCAGTTTCAATGGTTATTCTTTTGTTTCTTTGAAAGACAAATAAAATGTCACCGATCAAATTCGCATGATTGGTACACTTACTACACCTGCACAATATGCTCTTTATAATTTCATTCAGTATTTATTACTAATTCTTGAGTATTCATTACATTCCTAATTTTCACAATGACCAAAAATGTTATTCTCCTAATCTTCTCCATTGAAATCAAAGTTCACTCTCCGAAACTCTTTTGACCAAAAATTATTAATTAAATATTGACCGAATAATAAAGGTATTTATATTGGGCGATATTTACGTATCTTTCCAGTAGTAAATTTCAAAAAAGTATCAGTATTTTTACAAAAAAAAAGAGGTCCAACAAAGTCTTCACGAATGAGAACAGCAGTAACTTCAGTATCAATGCTGCCAAAATCATTATCTATTCTAACCGCAAATCTTTATAAATTTTTTTTTTCCTAATAATTATATGCATCGCAAGATTTAGCGTTTTGCAACAAAAATAAATGTTTTGAAACGACTACAAAATTTTTTGCAAAATAAATGCCAACAGCGGCGGCATATAATGGATGGTTACGGACTGGTAAATTTTTTAAACGTTATTATCAAAATTTTCATCTATCATTAAAGCATTACGAATGAAAATTGATCAAACATAATAATATTGTATATTTATTCTTCTCTTAACTGTAATATAATCTTTTAATTTAGAATGCATTTTTAAATGAGCATAATAAATATAATCTGAGTCTAGTTTCTGTAACAGAAATGCTACAATTATCAGCTTAAAGCTTGGGAATCGAATTCTATTTGACTTAATTGGTGAATTAATGATGATATTAAATTCATTCCTCACTGAGCATCCGTATTATTGGGGTAACTTGCGTCGCTTTCAAATTTTAATTATATTCAGAAACTTCCCAGGATTTCTTTTGCCGTTCCATCGTCGACACTTTGCTTATCATTAAAGATGGAATTGAAACGTAAGTCAGACGACTCCTAATTATAAGTGTAACTTTGTTCGCAGTTGACTTTGCACGGTACATCCAAAGGAATTATATCAAGTTAATTCTTGTCCGTCTTGTTCATCGTTTTTCTCTCTTACTTGAAACTTATCCTATTTATTTAATACTTTATGCACAAAAGTACAAAGGCAGACTTTAGCGCCTTGGGTATTCGAAATGTTACCGTTTTTAACCTATAACACTCAATATGAGGGCATCAGCTAGGATCTTGGAATCTGAGCTATATATGTCATGTTGTCTAATATTAAGTTGATAGAACGTTGCACAAGCCTTTATTTCTAAGAACTAATAACATAATATCGGGCTGGCTAATAAGTAATGAGCGTTTTAATTTTAATTTTTAGAAACTATGAGTAGGGTCGAAAATCTTATATGGCGGGGGGTATAAAAAGGGCGAGTTGCGATCATTCACGCCAATAATACTTCGAATGTCGTTGTGTTAACTTAACAGAAAAAATGAATGATATTAAAACCCATGTCCGACATTGTTTATTATATGAGTACAAATCTGACATTTTCGCTGCAAAAATTGCACATAACATATGCCAATGGGTAGCCCATGACGCAGTCTCCGTGGCAAAAGCAAAGCGGTGCTTTCAGCGATTCTGCAGTGGAGTCTATTCCTTGATAGATCAACCGAGGTCTGGGCGTCCAATATAAACAAATACAAATAAACTAAAGACGTTAATTGAAGAAGATTCTAGACGCAGCACACGTGACATGGCTATAGAAAATCAAATCCAAACGCCATATTTGTAAGACTTTCCTAATAGTCTTACAAATTTGGCGTTTGGATTCTACATCAGCTGACCAAGGATCAACCCCCTTACCGTGCAAGTCTTACAAATTTGGCGTTTGGATACTCCATCAGCTGACCAAGGATCAACCCCCTTAACGTGCATAGATATGTGTATATCTATTATCATTTCGTCGTTCCTTTAACTGGCTAGATCATCTCGTCACTGGAGACGAAAAGTGGGTTTATATGTTAACCATACATGCCAGCGCCAGTGGCTAGGCCGCAACGAAGCAGGCAAACCTACGCCAAATAAAGATCTTCATCCTCACTAGACGATTCTATCGGTATGGTGGGATGTACATGGAGTAATATATTGGGTAACTCTACCTACCAATACCACGATCACAGCGAACGTGTACTGTAATCAACTCAATAATCTGAAGCTTGAACTTTATCGTAAGCGTCCACGGCATGACAAAATATTTTTCCTCCATAATAATACCTGCTCGCATATTACTAAGAGTACCCGACAGAAACTAATGGAGCTGAACTAGGAAATAGTTCTACATCCTCCGTATTCACCGAACTTAGTGCCAACAGATTTTAATTTATTCCGGTCACTTAGTAATAATTTGCGTGAAAAAGCTTTCATGACGAACCCCGGTTACAACAGTACTGTAACGGTTTATATTTTATAAAACGTATACATTTATTTTACTATAAAATTTGTTGTCCGAAGATTGACAAACCAATAATTTTCTATATAGATAAACGGCGACTGGCTTGACAACATGTCTTGCTCGAAGCTATTGTTCTACGCGCCGCAGGAGCAATCCAGTTTTATGAAAGGTACAAAACCCGTGGACGCGCTCCTTGTGACACATTTCAACTGAAGGCAGTGTAACGTCAATATGTAGTCCTTGAATATTGAGATTTTTCGGCCGCTGCCGTCGCGAACGTAACATTATCAACGTACTAGTAACTTTGTTTTTTTTTAAAGGATAATAATGTATTCGAAGTGATATCCCCGTATTGGGTAAGTGCTGCATAATTTCTAATCAGTTTAGCTGTTTTTTTTTTGTCTAAATTTTATATTGTGTTTCTCAACAATATATTGTATCTTTATGTAATTTCTTTTATTAACGGGCGTGTTTTAGTCCCATCTGTTGTCCCATTGTCAATATTACCTACACAAGACTATAGAAGAATACTTGATGATATTGGAAATTAAAAGGTTATTGAAAAGGATTTGTAAAATTTAATCTCACACAGTAAAATAAATACATAATTTAACACTTGGTCATTCGTCTTAACTCCCCTAGTAATCTAAAACTACATATAATTAAAGATATCGACTAGCTTATCACTACAACATATTCAGATTTGAATCAAAATCATATAGCTATTCATTCATAAACATAAAATTAAATAATGATAGAAAGTAGTGAAACACCAAATTCCGGAAAGTCAATTGAAATGTTAACTAACTTACAACTTATAATTAAAAAGCTAAAACATGTTTAAGAATTTAAGTGGGTGATAAACGTGCGAATAAGTACGCGAACTTGTGGCTCGACGACCTTTCTCGCTTGTGTGTCATCTTAAGTACGCGTACTTTAAAATTGCCGCGCAGGTTTGCCGACGATCCAAACGGTTTGAAATCTTACTCACAGCTTGTCTCGACTCATGCGTGTGGCAGCGCTGCGAGCCGCGAACTAACACTTTGTTTCCGTGTTAGTCCATGAAGGCAAAACGGTTGTTGTTTTATGTTTGATCTTATTTAAGTTATTTTAAGTATTAATTTATTTATTACTTATTTTTAATTGTGGAAATCTTCCTTCTCATCACTTAACTCTCTTACTAAATTCATATATTAAAAACGCTCTCTTTTCGTAAGCCAGTTCTTTACCCTCATTTTTGGATTTGGTCTTGCTTTATTAATTTTTAAGATGTAATATGATATAATTCTTAAAAAAACAAAGCTTCTTCCGTTAATGTGTGTCAATCTAAAAAATCGCGTACATAAAGTTCGTACGTCCATCACCCACTTTACAAAGACAAATTTATTATATTAATTTGCTTTGAAACATAATATATTTGGATAAGCAAACTTAAATTAATTTGACAAGTTTTGGCTTCTATAATTTATTATTGTGCCTTCTTCATTCGAATACAAAAAGCGGAAAACAGAAAAATTTCTTACATGCTTATTTTATTCATTTTGCTATTTGTTTTTTTTTTTAGCAATTATATCTTTAAGGTCATGTAAATAAATAAATTACAAATATAAACCCAATTATGCTATCTAAACAATATTGAGCTATGACATCTTAAGATTTTTGATTAATTCACAAAAAATAATGAAAGTACGGCAAAGACAAAGCTTCTGAATATTCCAAGAAGTTACTTCGCGACATAAAAGATCAAAACGAAATACTATAAGAAAAATATACTCAAAAGAAAATTTGGAATATTCTTTAAACGAATTTAATCTAAAACCAAACAAAATACTGTTATTATAGTATTTTGATTCAAATCACACTAGATATATTAATAGACGGTATCACGTTTCTGACACACTTTCTACTTCGATCACATGTCTGTGCTTCCTCTTCTTATGAATACCGTCGAATTCATTCTGTATTTCTTCTAGCGTCCGTCCCTTAGTCTCAGGCACGAAGAAGTATACAAATATAAAACCGACGATACATATAGAGGCAAAATACCAAAGTGCCCAACCCAAGCCAATCTTCTTAACCAAATGTTGAAACATCTTTGTCACTGCAAAAGCGAGAAACCAATGGAAGCCAGCAGCAATAGCCGTGGCTCGTCTCGTTGCATTGCTTGGAAATATTTCTCTCAACATCAACCAAGGAATTGGTCCAACCCCTGCTGCATATACGCTTACAAACATTGACAGCGTGAAGAGCGGTATCCAAGTTCCATTTTCATACTGTATTGACGTCTGCAAATGGTAGTATATCACAGAACAACCTAAGCTTAAAGCCATTGATGAAAACGATAGCATTAGTAAAACTCTTCGCCTCACAGTTTTAAGAAGCATCGTTGAAAAGTACGTAGATGATACGAGACAAAAACCGAGAATGATGGCAGCACCCGGTAAATTTTGTGAAACCAAGAACATTTGGAAAATGTATTGAGCATAGAATATAACGGGATATATACCACTCATCTGCTGGAAGACCATAAGTCCGAAAGAAACGATGAGAGCTTTCACTGTTGCCTTAGTACTAAATAATTGGCGGAAGGTGATTTTGTGTTTTGTATAATTCCGCATATGTTCCTTTAGTTCCTTGATTTCTGCATCTATATTGTTGTCTATACCACGGAAATATCTCAAAGCAGTTTTAGCCTCGTTGTATTTTCCTTGTGACATGAGATAGGCTGGTGACTCGGGAAGAAATATGAACGCGATGAAATAGGCTACTGGTATGCTGGCGCATAAGAAAGAGAGCCACACTGTACTTGATACCATACCTGTAACAATAAATTAACCTTATAAGTTGTTTAAAAAAATAGTCGAATTGTGAACTTTCTCTTTTTTGAAGTCAGCTATTAAGATAAACATACAAAAAATATCGCAAGCAAGCCCCAGATAATAATATGTTATTGTGTGGAATTTATATTTTGGCATCACTACCTACCGTTCTTGGAAAACTTTTTCATTTTCTGTTATTAATCTTACTACGAATATTTTATTTTTATCCTAGTTATTACTTAAAAAAATAATATATAGTCATTCTAATACGTCATAATAATTTCACCTTCTCCTGTATGACACAGCGTTATTTTAAAATGCGCATAAATAATGTTCAAAATAGTTTTTCGCTATAATTAATTTAATGGAAAATAATTTCACTGCTCGTTTAATTTATTCTTCAATTTGCAGAGATACGATATGAAATAAGTTAAATAAATGAATTTCTCAAATTGTTTGTTTGAGTTTTGTCTGATTAACGCGTTATTAAATTTATTTGTTACTATTTTGTGAAAGCGAAAAAAAAATGTTACATTAGAAAGCTGTGGTATGTATATGTAAGAATCTTAATAAAATAAGATTCGTACTAAATGTAAAATATTTTGTCCTTACCAACAACATAGCCAAAAAGAACGCCACACGCGAGATGCACATGGTAGAAATTTGCTAGTGTAGGCAGCAGCTGCTTTTCTGATATGTCTTCCACATAAGGTGGAATCCCAACGCTGAATGCTCCGACCGACAGACCACCAACGAAACGACCCACATACAAGCCATAGACGTTGGGACTGTAAGAGAGAAAACACTTTAAGAGAGCATGGTTCAAGACTCTTTAGTTATAGGTACTAAAAGTTTATTAGCAGACTTCATACAAATTGTTTATTTTTAATATATAATAGCAAATTACAATAGCAACCCAAAATAACGAAATTTAGAAGGATAACACTGACGGTAACGGAAGTCATGTCTTAACTTCAATAATGTTATTGGTTTAGTTTATATGGGTAATGAATATCGATAATGACTCTACTTCGGAACTTACAATTCATAAAAACTATGAAAAAATAGACTTTAAAAAATTATAAACCATAACTATAAACCAACAATTTTTCTACTATAGCTTTATGTTAGAGGTTCCGCTGCCTAATTTCACGACAAGAAGTCCTTCTTTATTTCTTTTAAGTAATAAGTTCTTTAATACTTATTACTTACAAGAAAACCATTTTGATAATTTATGATGCAACGATGGAAGAACTTGACATTGGCTCTGTTGCACAGATAATCACGGAGATAATTTTAGCAAAATTATTAAAAAGGTTCAAAATATTCCATCCATAGACATCAGAACTCACCTGGAAGCAACCATTAGCCAGGAAACCACAAGTGGAAGTGCCAGATACAATAAGGTCTTCTTCCGTCCGAAATATTGAGAGATCAACCCCGTTGGTATTGCTCCACACACTGCTCCAAAACAAAGTAGTGATGCCGTCCAAGAGGCCTCGGAGTCAGATAACTGTGTACAAAAATGACTAGTCATTATCATAATTGTACAATCATCATCATCGTCTATCGTCCATCGGGAAGCTAGATGGTACAATGGTTATGCATTTGGTCTGCGAAGTGGATGTTTAGCCATTTTTGAGATGGCCAGCAACAGTGAGGAATATGGCTAATAAGCTGCTGATGATTGACCATCGTCAAACAATTAATATTGAGTTACAATATTTATTACATAAACATTATTACAAAATCCTATATAAATGACATTTATTTATATTATTACTATTTTTATATATTATATTCAAACTCCTTGTTTAAATTAAAAAAAAAACTAAACGAAGCAATAAAATTAATGTACTCTCTGTCAAATTCGTCCTTAAATCTTACTATAGTCAGTTTTCAGTATATTAACGTTCATTTTTGATTACAAACAAATCAATTTTAGTAACTCAAATCATATATATAGACCTAACATCCAATTTCCATCTCACGAATCCGGAAATGAAGCATGTAGACCTATCACTATACCGATAGTGAACACACAAACGTCTCAACTCAAATCGGATGATAAATCACTAACGGTCTTTGTAATCTCTGTTCTGTCGATTGTAGCAGAACCCCTTTGTGATTCAAAGCTATCTGTTTAGTTTCCAGGTATTTGAAATCGATTATTGATAACAAATTATTTGTATGCATACATAATAATAAATAAGAGTTACTAGATATCAATTTTAAGTAAATACTAAACGAGTAAATCGCACTTGAATCTTAAAAAAATAAAGTTCAGTTGTTGTTCAGTGCCTTGATAAAGGCAAATATTTTATAATAGCTTTCCGTAAGCAGCTTTCTCCGCGTGGTTTATATGACAACTTGATAGTACATTTATCCTAGGGAACATTTTGTGAGATAAAGTAGCTTATATATTAATTCAAGCTTAGAATTATCCATATAGCATTTCATCAAAATCCCTTCATTAGTTTTATCATGAAAGTTAAAAAATATATCTACCCTTAAATTATACTCTAAAACTTAATATACAAAAATCAGTAAAGACACTACTGCCATCTATTAACAAATATGGAAATTAGTTTTGGCAAAATAAACTTCAACTAAACAATTATCACGTGTGTTATGTTCAGGTTACATAGATTCCAGTATATCTAATGGCACCTTGACATCAATATATTTAAGAATGTGCAACAATAATAAACTGACTCAAACTATTTTAGCAAAATAACCTTTGCACAAACTAACCGATAGTTTTGGATGAGTACTGTTGGACATTGTTGACAGATTCGACGAAACGTGGCTGAGCACCGGCTGTAACAAAAAAAAAGAGTAAATAAAATGTGGATAAGAGATTTACTAAAAAAGAGTCAAAAACAACAAAAGTCTCTAACGAGGTAAAAGATGACACACATTCACGTCAATTTTAAATTCACGTTACGGCTTATATCTAGGTCTTTCTTTCAGGGTCGATTTATCTTGGACCCAAATGGTTATGATGCAAGGCGATAGGAACAAGAACAGGCACATTTTAAAATATTAAAAACCTTTAAATTGACCCGTTGCTACTCAGTGTTCCAGCGCCTAGCCTACGCATTGTGTACTGAGTGATGTATACTCTAAGTACTTCAACATACTTAAATGTCAAGTACGCACACAGCACAGTTTTCTCACCAAGTCTCCGTCTGTTACTTGTATAATAAGCACCTGATTTTTGTCCCTACCGTCCAACTCAACATAGAGTTCATTCGCTTCTATTATTTGAATAAAATTATTTCAATTTAACTTTAAACAAAATATTATTACGTCAGTCACATCTCACGGTAAGCCGAATAGTCTTGTAAGTCAGCTCTGCGAGCAGACAGCATAATAAGCGCACCTGTTCTGACATCTGTCTTGATGATCAAATAAGACAGTGAAGTCTTCATAGGTTAAAAACTGAACATAATACTATTTAATGAACTAAATACTAATTTGTTGAACGTATTATTGCTATTTTATAAATAATTTGCATTATTATTTTTTTAATCCACTTCAAAATCGGAAAGGTGATTCCGACTATGTTCGACTGTATCTTTGTTTAAGTGTGTTCACCGAGATCTTTGCCAATTGTTGACCGAAAATTCAAAATTATTTTCATTAATCAGCTTTTATGTTCGAATTGCTCCCATTTATAAGCGGTTATCATTTAACAACCTACAGAAAACCTCTGGCTGACTTCAATAGCAGTTTCTCAAACAAAATTAAAGCGCTTTTAAGATAAGTATTATTTATCTTTTTTAAAGTCTGAAGTCTGTTCCATTTTTAGGAAAAATATCTTATACGTAAAGCCAACATTTTGTCTTTATACTTATTATTATTATTTTATTCACAAATTGTATGAGACACTCAAAATATATGCTCAAGTTCACTATTGTTTACAGTCCTTATAAGCTGATGATGATGAAGTGAGAAATTCTCTGCAATAAATAATCGTTTACAATAAGCAGCTGGAGTCGTAGAATGCAGCTAGTCAACCGCAGCACACCTGCTCGTAACACTCATAACTTTTGCCATAACTCATCTCACGGTTAACTTCGCGAAAGTTCATTTCCTTTATTTAAATAGGGTTGTTTAACTTATTTTTTTACTTATAAATGGGAGAAATCGTGACTGTTTATATACTGGTATATTGTAAATATGTTTTACAGATACTTTTGTAATTTTATCTTAAATATTGTCTATACTAACATTAAAAAGAGGAAAGATATGATTGTTGAAGAGAAAACTAGCTTTTTTAAACCTATAAATTTTTATGCAAACTATAATGGGTCTAATGAAATTGGCTTAATTTGTCAAAAATCAACTCTAAAACCAATAAATGAGTAACATTACATTTGTACTTGCAACCTCTTCGTTTCCTTCGTTTTTAGGAAGTATTACCTCTAGCGATTTCAGAATTATTACCTCCAGCTGTATTAATCTAGACTATAAACTGTTTATGTGCAAAATTTATCATACGTACACAAACTAAAAATATAGTGAACATACAGAAATTCACACTTAATATAACATAAGTAAGATTAAATTTGATTTCGTCCCTAATATGTACTTTTCGAAAATATCAATAAATAATAAATATCACATACATTGCTCACATCCCAAAGTAAGTAAGCCCTTGTTTTATTACCACACGTAACGTAAATTTAGTTACTTAAACAGAGCAAAATATTTTTCCAATAGCTAAATTCTACTTTGTGTATAGTAGACTACTATATTTTCAATTTTCTCAGTTTCACCTTTGTGTAGTAAAAGTAAAAAGATATATTTCACTCAAAACTGGGGATAACCCTATAAATTAACGGAAGGGTGTATAAACTTGAAGTTATAAGAATCGTAAATTATAAGGAGATTTTTACAGAATTCAGACATTCTTCAAATGTTAACGAATATTGTACCTTTTTCTATTTTATCAAGAGTTAATAATATTGACTGACTGAAGGTTAGTTTTCGGTTTCGGCCAGTTTCTAGCAAGAAATCTAATTTCGGTTAAGATGATTAGAACTCGAATATTTTGATGATAATAATAAGATGAATTTTTAACGATAATGGTCGAATCAGACGGAATCAGATTTTGAAGACTAGAAAGCAAATGATTTTCAGATGTTTGTTTGCATCCAAGAAAATACAGATTCTGGTAATATTATGGGGAGGTATCAGTTCAGCAAATAGAACTGAGCTTATAATTAAATTGTTATTTTGTGTTGTTGTTAAAAATAACAATATACCTACTTTTTACAGATTTTCATTCAATTTTAAAATTACTCGTTTAATATTTAACAATGATAAATTGCAAGAACTTTATCATTTTCTAAAACCTAACAAATCGGTCCTAACAAAAAAATACTCTCGTAAAATCACATATACATCTATATGTATATAGAAATCAATTGCCGTTTGTTTGTCTCGCTAAAACTCGAGAACGGCTGAGCTGATTTAGGTGATTTCGGTTTTGAAATTTATGTCGTAGTCCAGGAAAAATTTAAACGTTAAGCCATCTAGTTTACAATAACTGCAATTCCAGTGCACATAATTTAGCTAATTAATTTAGTCCTTTATATTCTTTCAAGGTTTTGGTTAGGTAGCTCCGGATAAAGGATAATTACATTTCGGCTCGTGGAATACGTATCGAACTCAAACGTGCATGAACATTACAGCCATTCCACTGATTAGTCACGCCGTATCCCAATCTGTGAAAGTGACTTGCTTAATTCTCGAGCACGTTGTACTAGTTCACACGAAATCATTAAGACATAGAATAATAGATTTGAATACAAAAATCAATGTGAAGTATACCCCAAAACTTACATGAAAATTCCATCTATTTAGTGACAACTAAATAAAAAGAAATTTAATAGTATTTTTAATAGTATTTAATAAAAAGAGGTTTAATAGTTTTGAGTTTATCATGATCATTATCAAACAGACGGCATGAACACTTGGTTAGAATTGTAAAGAACTTATGATAGTGTTCCGTAACGAAACAGATCATTGATAATTGGCTATACAAAGACAACACAACTGTGGGTAAAATTTTTATTGTCTATGGGCAAGGCGATTAGCTGTCTTCGTTCCAAATCCCCACCCTTAATCCTTGGGTGACGGTTTACTACTGTGATTTCAAATTGTTAACTGCGCGCACCTAATTTTGATTGAGCTTGGTGAATTGTTCGTTATCGAGAATAAGGACATTTCGGAAGAACGGTGGATCAGTGCCTATGGACTATATATCGTGTATGATATATTCGCTGGTAACCGCGTCGACGCACCCCGTTCCAGAACCCAGCCCTCGGAACCCGTGGCGGTAAAGGATCGCTTGCGGTGAGTCGCCAACCCCTGCTTAATATCGTACATAATTTCTTTTGATCCGTTCGAACCGGATTGCTATCTTTCAGTTGTGTTGTCTCTAAACAGTATTACGTACTTATTATCATGGATAGTGACGCAGCGAATTCGAAGCAGTCATCTTTGTTACGCAAAATGTCTGATGATGAATCGCCGTGTGAACAAGATTTATTCGAACGAGATCTTATTCTCGATGAGTTAAAACGAACATTACAGTTCGCAGCGACAGATGTCCAACAGTTTCGCTCGCGAACTACTGATTTAAATTCTCACCAACGTAAATTCAATAAAGTTCAAACTAAAATTGAAAAAACGTTAATCAAGTTAAGGTCTTTTAACAAAGAGGAACAGATTAAGATACGCAACGATTTCAATGATTTGTACTACGCTATTATCACTAATTTAAATAATTTAAAGAGGGTGGATGAAGAGCAACGACGTATGAGTCGTCCGTTAATAACGCCTTTAGTTCAGTCATCTAATTATAATAAGAATTTACCAACTTTGCCTTTGCCTAATTTCAGCGGCGATCCTACGGATTGGCCTTCCTATTTCGATTTGTTTCGATCATTAGTCCATTTAAACAGTGCCTACACAGAGGCGGAAAAATTCCGTTACTTATTACTTACGGTACACAACGAACCCCACAATTTAATTAAATCTATCCCTATTACAGACGAGAACTATTCGGTAGCTTTAAATATTTTGATATCTCGTTATGAGAATAAAAGAGTTATTGCCTCAAAACACCTTGACAGAATTCTCGACATCGAACAGTGTTCCGATAGATCGTCTCAAAGTATACGTAATTTATTAAATGTCTACCAAGAAAACATTAAAGCACTGGAGATTATGCACTTTCCCGTAAGCGAATGGAGTTTTTTGTTACTTAGCATTTTGTTACGAAAAATACCTATTAACACTCGTAAATCTTATGAACGTTCTTTAACTAATTCGTCCGACATTCCAAACGTTAGCACATTGATTTGTTTCTTAGAACGCGAAATATCAGCTGAGGAAATTATCTGTTCGACTAACAGCGGACAGTACAATAAATTATCTAGTGTGGCTAATGTGAATATGCGCCACCGTCACAATAATCGCGTAGAAAACCAGTTGCAGCAACGGCAACTTCGTTCGTTTGCTGCTAATGTCACACCAGTTTCAAAACCGTCGAATGATAATCGGTCTTATGAACAGAATCATAAGAATAGAAATTGCTTATGTTGTAATGCTCAACATACGTTGACAAAGTGTTCGCAATTTTTAAACTTATCCCCTCAAGATAGATTTGCTTTAGTTCGTAAGAAAAATATTTGTTATAATTGTTTGCATTTTGGGCATGATGTGAATCAATGCAATTCTAGTTTTGTCTGTCGTACATGTCATAAGCGACATCACACATTAATTCACTTTTCAAGTAAATCGTTACCGATTACTGATAATAAAATATCTGCAAATAATGCAGTCTCGCTCCCACCTTCAGTGGTAGCTGAGATGCCTGTAACCGCTACCACGAATGATCCGCAGTGCGTTGCTCCCGCCGGTGAGAACGTGATTCATAATTGTTGCGCGTCCAATGCCGCGTTCGCTCGTACGACTACGGTGCTATTGTCTACGGCACTCGTCGACGTATGCATAGGTGCGGTGAAAATAGCGACCGTTCGCTGCATTATAGACACTGGAAGTCAGGCGAGTTTTATCACTGAGGCGTGTGCGCAGCGTCTGGGTTTGATGCGCGGGCATGTTAATGTTTCTGTGTTCGGTATAGGCAATAGTGAAGCGGCGCGTAGCAAAGGATTTATAAATTGTAATATCGCGCCTAAGGGTAGATTAGAACCCTTAGTTCCGGTAAATCTTTTAATTTTAAACAAATTAATTTCACAAATGCCGAGTATGCAGTTACCGTACACTGGTTGGCCTCATATAAAAGATTTAAATTTAGCGGATCCCGCTTTTCATACGCCACAGCCAGTGGACCTGTTATTAGGAGCGGATATACTATCC